AAAAAAAAAAAAAAAAAAAAGGAATAAAAGAAAAACCAAAAAATCTGAAGTCTATTGTTGTCATCTTCCCCTTTGCTCTGTCCTTATTACCCAATGCTATTCGGATAAGCAGTCAGTCAGCATGTCTCAAAAATCCAATTCCCAGGAAAAAAAAGAAGATACACATGATCAGGCCCTGTCAATGTCGTCCTCGTCCCCTGACTCCCCACCTCCTCCGTAGAGACCCCCAGATGACGTCCTGAACTTGACGGTCCTCGTGATCCCTTCCACCCTTCTGGCCGCCTCCCCCGCATCGGGCCGCCTCTCCGGTTCATCCTCCGTGCACTCTGCCCCGACCCGCAGAACCCTCTCCATCTCCCCCCTCCACTCCTTGTTGCTGATCTGGACATCCGGGTCGAGCACCTCCCCTTCCCTCCCCTCTGCCATGGCCGACCTCACCAACTGGACCACATCCCTCCCCTCACCTGCCGCCTTCCCTGTCAGCATCTCCAAGATTATGATCCCCAGGCAGTATACGTCGCATTTCGGGGAAACTGTGGACTCGGGAGATTTGTAGGCCTCGAGGGCCTTGGCAGCATGGGCCGGGCTGATGAGGGGGGCCAGCCCGTAGTCGGAGAGGAGGGGCTCGTGGTCGGGGGAGAGGAAGACGTTCGCGGACTTGAGGTTGCCATGTGGGAGGTCGAGGGAGGGGAGATTGGCGTGGAGGTAGGCCAGCCCCCGGGCGATCCCTTGGATTATCTTCAGCCGGACAGGCCACGTGAGTTGCGCGTGGGAGATGCCGCGGTCGCCTGCCACACCAGATCATCATCAAGTTTTCGAAAATTCTACTCCCAAAATAAATATCATATTCTAACCGAAAGAAAACCAACCACTCTTTTACCGTGCAACACGAGAAACAAACTGCCCTTGGGCTGATACTCGTACACCAGCAGCTTCTCGTCCTTCCTGTAATGATACGCCAACGGCGTCAGCAAGTTCTTGTGCCTCAAACTCCCGAGCCGTCTCACCTCCGAGTCGAACTGCTCCTTCCCCATCTTCGTCGTCTCCTTCAACCTCTTCACCACCACCGTGAGCCCACCCGCCATGCTCGCCTTGTAAGACGAGCCCAAAGGCCCGTTCCCCAGAACCTCGGCCGCCGCCTTCATCAGGTCCGCCAGCCCAAACTCTCCCTTCTCCTCGTTTATCATCACCATGTCCCCAACCCCTTTCCCCAGCCTCCCCGACCCCTTCCTCCCTGACCCGGATCGACCTGACCCGGTCCGGCCCGTCTCTAACGCCTTCCATCCCCTCGCATCTCCGCCGCCCCCCGAAATCGCCCGTGGGATGCTGGGCTCGAAATTTCCCTCGGCACTCCTGTCCTGCCTCCGCTTCAGCACGTATATCCCGATTATCATGAGGGCGAACAGGACCACGAGGGACGTGAACAGGGCCCACACGGCGATCTTCATCCTGTTGGCCTTGTCGGGGCACGGCCTGCCCAGGTACGCGCCGCACAGCCCGGGATTGCCAAGAAACGCGTCCGGCCCGAACCTCGACAGGCCCGCGGGGATCTCGCCCTCGAGATGGTTGTTGGAGAGGTTGAGGGAGACAAGGGACGGCTGCTCAAGCGTCGGGACTGGACCCGTGAACCGGTTGTTCTCAAGGTGCACCTCGACCAGATGGGCCGGGTGGGCTAGGGAAGGTGGGACCGGGCCGGAAAACCCGTTCCCGGACAACCAAACCTTCCTCAGGGCCTCCAATTTCGCGAAATAGTCGGATGGGATCTCGCCCGAGAATTGGTTGGTCGATAGGAACAGAGCACGGAGATTGCCGAGGGGGCTGAAATCGGGGAGCGGGCCCGAGAAAGCGTTGGACATGAAGCTGACGATTCTGAGGTGAGGAAGAGAAGCCAATGCGTAGCCGTCTATAGTTCCCGAGAGACCCAAGTTGCCGAGGCGGAGGCCCGTGACGACGCCATTCGCACATTTTACGCCGACCCAATGATTGTTTTCGGCGCACGGCTCTGTCCCGGGCTTCCACGAGCCGAGAGCGGTCGCATTTGTCAATGATTCTTTGAGTTTCAGAAGAGCTTCGGATTCGGAGACCGAACTTGTTGCCGGGATCATGAGCAAAAAAACGTAGAAAAAGATGGATGATCCAAGAACATGAATAATGGCCATAATGGATTTTGAATGAAAGGGAGAATTAGAGAGCTTAACAAAGGCTTAATTAATTACTGATTTGCTAGTTTTCTTGATCCATAAGAGGATTTTATTTGTTCTCTCTATTTCTTATTTTTTTTTTTAATTTACTTATTTTGGTTTTATTTTTCTATCTTCACATCATTAGTGGAAAACCGTTAAAATCGTTCTGATCAATGCTAAATTTGGACAGGAATGGTTTAAGCAACTGTAATAACGACCTCCTCATGCATTTTGTTTTATGTTTTCCTTTGTTTGTTGTCCTCTTACATTTTTTCTTGTCCTTTTTCCCCTCTTTTTCAGTCTTATTATTCTTGAATCTTAACATATATAATATTAGTAGTACAAATAAAAAATATAATATATTTGTTATCTGTAATAAAACTAGAGAACAAAAAAAAAATAAAAAAATAGAAATTATGTTTTTCTATCAATATGACTTCCATTATAACCAAAGTTACTATTCATAGGAAAACATTTTACTCACATGAATTGTAATAATACAATTACAACTAGGACAAATAGCACATAATTAATTTGGTTGGTTGGGGTTCGTGGGATATTTCATAACACATGAATTGTAATAATACAATTACAACTAGGACAAAATTAGCACATAATTAATTTGGTTGGTTGGGGTTCGTGGGATATTTCATAACACTTCGTCTCGAATGATTATCTTCAAAACATATCTATATGAGTTGGGAGTAAAATTCAACTGGATAAAAACTTTCGAACATATTGTAGTGTAGTTTCTTGCCATCAGACACTAATGCATCTTGTCAGAAAACCTAATTGGACAAAATCATTATGACGGAATCATATTAATTTTCTTTTAGTCCTAATTGTACCATAAATATGTTTCATTAAAATAATACACTATTCATGTTGTCTCATTAAAAATTTTGTCAGAGAAAAACCAGTGAGATAAAGCTTCATCAGGGAAAATTAGGGGTGCACAAAGTTCGGTTAACCGAGCCGAACCGACCGAAACCGAAAATTCGGTTTGGACCGAAACCGAAACCGATTATTTGGTTCGGTTTTCGGTTCACATTTTTCTAAAATTTCGGTTTTCGGTTCGGTTTGGATAATTGTGATCGGTTAACCGAACCGAACCGAAAACTGATTTATTTAATATATATACATGTTTTTTATTTATACATATAAGTTATAAAAACATTAATTTGCTTCAATTATTGTTTATTTTCAAGCTTCATTGACGCATAAAATTGTTCAAGCATTAATTTGCACTCAAAATTGCTTCATCATTGTCCAAGTCACTGTTCGGGTCCGAAATCTTCCTTTGAGCATAATTTAGAATTTATTGAGAATATTGAATAAGGTAATAAAAAAATTATTATTATTTTTGTAGGGATAAAACATCAATTTTTTTTCGGTTAAAAATTCAAAATTTAACAATAGTATTAATTATTTATTGCGATTAACCGAAAACCGAACCGAACCGACCGTTGGTTTTCGGTTAAAAACCGAACCGAACGTCGGTTCGGTTTTCGGTTATGATAGTTGGCAAACCGAATTTTCGGTTAACCGAAAATTCGGTCGGTTCGGTTCGGTTTTAACCAAATGAGCAGCCCTAGGGAAAATGGTATAGTGCTTATTTCACAAAAGTATGCTTCATAAATCTTTTTCCAAAATTTATATGAGTATCATATAGATTTATAAATCATTCATTTTGGTTTATCAAATAATGATGGTATTTGTTCACATCATAATACAGCATATCATAACTTGGTGCAAATTTAATCTCAAACTCGTTCCCATTACATAAAACATCTTTTTGGGATATATTCCATTATAGATGAATCACGGTTGCCTTACCAAAAACTTCGATTAGAGAAATTTCTTTGAGACAAAAACCTCAATCAATGAATGTAACATATAAAATTTATATTTCAATAATAATATTTTATTTCCTTGAGTCATTATATGCACAAACAATATATTCATAGTCTCTTTTAGTTCTTTATCAAAATATCAAAAATAATATCAAGATATATTTTCATAATGATATTCTAGATAGATTTCATTATTAGTAGATTTCAAATTCCTACATATTAATGGATTTTAATACATTCATTATCAGTGGATTTCGATTGTCTTATCGTCAATAGATTTCAGTATTCTCATTATTAGTGAATTTCAATCTCATCAATATCATTGTTATTCGTTCGTATGTACTTACATTTATTCATTTTTTATTTCTCATATTAACATAACTTATCGAGATACCTCATTATCAATTGATTACATATAAATTTCATGTCTACAAACCATTCATCAATAATATATGTCTCTTTTTTATCACTTATATATTCCAGCAGAACCGCGGACCAGACGCCACCGTCAATGGACCATCCATAGCAGCAAGGGGCGCGCTTCGCCAGGGGGGGGTCGAACGGTCAAGAACGACTCCTACCCGAGCTTCGTCGTCACCGAGGAAGGCGATTCAACCTGAAAATTGAGAAGATGCGTAGGGAAATTGGGGATAGAGTTTCCGCCGCGAGAGATACCAAGCATGGTACCAATTGGCGGAATGATACCAAGACTTGTCATGAACCTCACCTTATGCTTAGAGTACAGAGTTCGAGTCTTGGGGAGGGCGAAAACCACAGAGAGTCCAAAAATGGGTTTTCACCCCAGGGCAAGAGCACTGTGGAAGTTCAAGAGTCCCCGGTGCATGGTTATGGCCCACCAGGAGTCCGCCCCTCCAAGGGGGGAAGGTTGGCGGTTACGACCATCAACAATAAGGCATAATTTTTTTTTGCACAATCTTTCATTTTTCCTCATCTTTCTTTTATAATTATAAAAACAAAAATTAGTAACTTTAATTATAAATGTATTTAAAGTTAATAAATATTTTTTTTAATATTAATTTTTATGTGTAATATATGAAACTAGTCATGTTTTAAGCAACTTTGATTAGGCACCTATATCTTATATACAAAACAAGTAATTGTATTTATTTGTTTTTATAATAAAATAAATCTACCAATTAATTTTAATTGGAAAAATTAAAATTATTTTAAAGTAATTTATGTACAAAGTAGTTATAGGATATAAATTAAAAAAACTATTTATAACATAATATGGTAAATCATACAAGTGATAGATGTCATTTTAAATATAAATGATAATATACTTTTCAAAAAAGCATTTAAAATTTTTTATGAGTTTTTTATAATTTTTTAAATTTCAAATATAAATTTATTAACAAACACTGTAATACACGACTAAAGTACTAGTTGATAATGTTGAAACATATAAGTTGAATAAAGTTGAATTGTCTTTTTTATTTTAAATTAAATAGTGTAAGAAAATTATAAAGTGAATCAAACCAGATAACTTTTATCCAATCATCCCTTACACTGTATTCTCTAGTTTTCTATAGGTTGAAAATGACAATAACATTAATAATTTAAATTAAAGTTTGGTTATTAGTGGTCAAACTTTTGATTCGTTTTCGATATTCTTTTAGACTTGTGTGTGCTGATCACATACAACACATAAGAAAATGCTAAGGTCCCGTTACGAAATCATCCCGTCGAGATTGTAACTGTTAGATTATCATGTAACCGTAAAAAATAATTGATCTAATGGTTATAAATCATGACAGAATGGTTCCGTAACAAGACTGTAGCATCTTCCCAAAACATATCACTATGTATGTTTTACATTTTTTTTTTCTAGCTCTTTTTCCATTTGTGTCATTAATAAGATTGTGGTGTACGAGAGACTTCCTCATATTTGCTTTCGCTGTGGCAAATATGGTCATGGTCACGCAACCTGCCCTGACCGGCCGGAGTCCAGTGCCACGGCGGCAAGCAAGCCAACACCGCCGGCAAGGGAGGAACCAACGGGCTATGGGGAGTGGATGGTGGCGAGGATTCGCTACCGGACAACACAGGCACGAAAATCGGGGAAACATGACAGCTCGCGGCAAACACATCCCCGCAAAACTGGGGCACATGAGAACTCCCCGATGCAAAATGTCCCAAATCTCGATACTGGGTCCCGCTTCAACGCACTTGCAGCTGACTTTGAGGAGGGTATCTTGGCAGGACAACAGTCAAATCTAGAAGAGGACAACGGATGTGATTGGAGGAGCTTCAACATGGGGACAGAAGACCAGCATCCTGGCACAGAAAACCGAGCACGTGGCACGAACAGTGGAATGCGGAGGAGTTTTTCCAAGACACGTGATAAGGGTCAGAAGTCCACGTTACAGGATTATGTTGGGCCCGTTCAGTCCAAGCCCAATAGGAATGCTAGTTCCTCAAGTGGTAAGGAATTGGGCCAGGAGAAAATTGATAACCGCAACAAGGGCCCAATAGATAACCCAAAAGATGCTTTTCAAATAAATCATGATCAAATTGCAGAAAAACCCGTCCAGGAGCTATTTCCCTCAACAGAATTGAATCAAAAGGGCGTCAGGGTCCTTGCTGCTCCCACAGATTTAAATCAGGACAAGCACAAGGCAGTGATCATCTTGGATAGCAACGATACACCATCTGAATCCTATTTCCCCCAGAACGATATGAACTTAAGGGAGGTTTTGGGAGCTGAAGGCACAGCTTTAAGCCAAAGACCACCCCCACAGTCCGACACCACGGACATGGAAGGAGTGGTGGAGAACACGTTGCTATACACCGAGGACGTGGACATGAGGGGGACGGAACAAGCGGAGACCGACACCGCAAACTCGCTCTGACGGGGTGCACTATCTCTTTCTTGGCCTTACTATTTTTTTTTTAATGATAATATTGACATGGAACACACAGGGGGCATGTTCGAAGAAATTTAATCGAGCATTCAAATCCCTTATCCAAGCTCAAGACCCTGATATAGTTGCTTTGTTTGAACCGAGGACTAGCGGAACCAAGGCGGACGATTTCATTCGAAGAAGTGGTTTTGACCACTCCTTTCGGGTCGAAGCTAAAGGATTCTCGGGAGGAATTTGGGTCTTATGGAAAGAGAGGGTGGACCTGCAGATCCTTGCATGTCGGCAGCAATTTGTGCATGCGAGAGTCCAAACGGATGGGGACGGGTGTCTTGTAACCTTTGTTTACGCAAAACCTCAAGCTCGAGGCAGGCGCTCTCTGTGGCCGGAGCTTGCCGACTTGGCTTCGTCTATTTCCACCCCCTGGCTCATCGGAGGTGACTTCAACGCGATGCTCCGACCGTCAGAAAAGTCGGGAGGATCCGTTAGACGGAGCAACGTGGACCCGGGGTTCGTGGATTGGGTCTTTAATTATAACCTGCATGAAGTTCGTACAGATGGGCTGAAGTACACCTGGATTCGTGGCAATGTTCAAGAGAAGCTCGATAGGTTTATTGCAAATGAATATTGGGTGGAGAGATATCCTGACGGTTTCGTTACCCACCCCCCACGTCGGAGATCGGACCATTTCCCTCTGGCACTGAGATATGGCGGTCAGCCTCGGGCCCTAGAGGGACGCAAGCCTTTCCGCTTCCTCGCCGCGTGGCTCTTGCATGAAGAATTTAGTGGGGTGGTAAAGAGCGCGTGGACAGACAAGTCGAGCTATGAAGAGGCTGCGTCTACCTTTGCTGATCTAGCGCGGACTTGGAACACTGACGTTTTCGGCAATATTTTCCAGAAAAAAAGAAGGCTTCTTCGACGCCTTGGAGGGGTACAACGTGAACTTCAAAGCTATTCCACGCCCAGGCTCCTTCGTTTGGAGCGTACGTTGAATGACGAACTGGAAGAGATTTTACTTCAAGAGGAGCTACTGTGGCTACAAAAATCAAAACGTGATTGGTTCTTGTTCGGAGACCGGAATACAACCTTTTACCACCAGCAAGTTAAAAACCGTAGGCGGCACAATAAAATTACCTTCTTGAAAGACTCCAGCGGTGCGGTCGTCACTGAGCCGACTGATCTGATTAAGATGGCTACCGAGTATTATCGAGAGATCTACACAGCTGGGCCCGACCTGGAGGAGAATATCATCATCCCGAATTTATTCCCCAAGTTGGAGTCGACCGCAATTTCTGAGATCGCGAAACCCACCACAAAGGATGAAATTTTTTCTGTCTTAATGAGGATGCACCCTCTGAAGGCCCCGGGAGTGGATGGACTCCATGCGCTATTTTTTCAAAAATCATGGGCGATCGTAGGGCCCTCGGTTTGTGATTTAATTCAACAATTTTTCTTGGAGGGAGTCTTACCTACCTTCTTGAATAAAACGTTGATTGTCCTGATTCCCAAAGTCGCAAATCCGGAGACGATCAAGAGCTTCCGACCCATTAGTTTGCTTAACGTGGTGTACAAATTAATCACAAAAATCCTGACCAATAGAATGAAGGACATCCTGCCTAATTTGATTGGCCCAGCCCAAGTGAGCTTCGTACCGGGTCGATCCATCACCGACAACATAATCGTGGCTCAAGAATTAATCCACACGATGAAGACGAAAACCGGAAAAAAGGGCTATATGGTGGTGAAGGTTGACCTCGAAAAGGCATACGATTATGTGCGATGGGACTTTCTAAAAGAAACTTTGTCCATAGCGGGTTTTCCAGACCACTACATCCAATTGGTAATGGCGTGCGTTACCTCGACCTCTATGCAACTCCTCTTCAATGGAGTGGGTACGGGAGACTTTTACCCGTCTCGGGGAGTCCGTCAAGGAGACCCTATCTCTCCCTATCTCTTTGTGTTATGCATTGAAAGATTGGCCCACTTAATCACGGCACGAGTTTCAACGGGTCATTGGAGGCCTATTCAGCTAGGCCGAAACGATGAGAAGGTCGAGATCCCTTATCTCCTCTTCGCGGACGACCTCCTTCTTTTTATTGAAGCCGACCTTGATCAGGCCGGACTGGTGAAATCCGTCTTGACCGAGTTCTGCCGTGCCTCGGGACTTAAGGTGAGTGACACGAAAACGCGTATCTTCTTCTCGAATAACGTACCTCCGGCTGGTAGACACGAAATCGCCTCTTCGATGGCTTATGAGGAAGTCGATGACCTTGGACTTTACCTCGGTATGCCCTTGATTCATGGAAAACTCGAAAAAAAAATGTATCAACGCATTCTTGACACCGCGGAAGCTCGCTTATCGAGTTGGAAAGCATCTTCGTTGTCTTTGGCGGGACGCATTACCCTCACTCAGTCGGTTCTTAGCACTTTGCCGTTCTACTCGATGCAAACCGTATGGCTACCCCGATCCATCTTAGACGAATTGGAAAAGCATTGCCGCCGCTTTATTTGGGGAGGAAATAACACTAAACGGAAGACGTCCTTGGTATCGTGGGACATTGTGTGCACGCCAAAGAATGAAGGAGGCCTAGGCCTTAAATGCCAAAGGAAGATGAACGATGCCCTCCTCATGAAATTAGGGTGGCAACTCCTCACGTGTCTGGATAAGTTATGGGTCCGAGCCATAAAAGCAAAATACAAGTTGAAGACCCCAGACTTAACAGCGATTGGAACTCTACCTAAAGAGTCGGTCACTATGCAGGCCTTAGGGAAGATTTGGGACAAGGTACTGAGAGCTACTAGGTGGGACAAGTTGAAGACTCCAGGCCTGTACGGGCGTAGTCCCGCAGCCATTCATTAACTGGACGGTTTCGGACTATTGTACGGAAGATGGGCAATGGCGTTGGAACCTTTTCTCGCACTTACTGCCGGCTAAAATGCTCCTACGAATTGCTTCAGTGCCGCCGCCAAGGGGATCGAGTGATTCAGATCTGGTATACTGGGGCTTCTCGGCAGATGGCCGTTTTACGACAAAATCAGCTTACGAGGGCCTTTTCGGCATTTTTCCTAAGACAGACACGTGGCTGTGGCGTGTTATCTGGAAATGGGGCGGGCCCCAACGGATACGACAATTTATGTGGCTAGTGGCTAATAATCGCTTGATGACGAACTCGGAACGCTTCCGCCGATACCTCGCTCCTTCGCCCACCTGCGAGCTGTGTGGCGCTGCACCCGAAACACTACTGCACACATTGCGGGACTGTCCAAAGGCAGCTCAAATCTGGAGAAAACAAATTCCCGGTAATAAACTCCCCGCTTTCTTCGCTTTGGAATTGAGACAGTGGATGGGTTATAATCTCTGTTCGGGGGATGCGAATGATATAGAAGACTGGAGCTGCACCTTTGGGGTGACTATATGGCGAATTTGGCACGGAAGAAACTGCCACATCTTCAGGAATGAGGAATTTCACGTGGGGAATCGACTTAGAGAGGTGAACATGCATGTCATGGGGATCAAGGCTGCTATTTTGCATGGGGAAAAAATCTTGGGTGATAGCACCACCCGCGTGAGCCGCATGATTCGCTGGATTGCGCCACCTGAGGGGTGGTTTAAAATGAATTCAGATGGGGCATTTAATGCGTCGACTGGAATGGCTACCGCTGGAGGGCTGATCCGAAACTCTTACGGACAATGGGTGCGGGGATTTACCATGAATATAGGCTTCACGACGGTGGCCGGCGCCGAGTTATGGGGCCTCTTTCAGGGACTACGACTTGCCTGGGAGTTGGGACTATCGAGAGTTATCGCCTCAGTGGACAACCAGGGAGTCGTTCAAATGATCAATGGGGGGCATGAGGGTTCGGGTATGCATGGAAGCTTAATCAGAGGAGTTCGAGAACTGATGGCTAGGGAATGGAGGGTTCAACTGATGCATGAGTGGCGGG